AAAGCCCGGAAAACAAACGCTGTAGTCCAAACGAGCCGTTCGTTGTAGTTCTTGAAAAGGGATTTTTAAAAAACGAAATATCTCCCTTTGGAGTGGACTTTGAGATTTGTAACTTTCTAGATCTTTTTTATGCCCAAACATACACACTACACACTGACTAAAATTTAAAAAGTGAAAAAGCATAATAGGACCCCTTTAACATATTTAATTATTGCAGGTTTATATAATATTCTGAGTTTGCATTTGACTGTTTTTATTCATTTTGAGGATCACTGAATCTGTTTTTTTTTTCAGGTAATATGAGTAAATACATGTTCATATTTAGTCTAGAACTACAGTAACATCACAGCGCACACAACGCCTCTGCACTTACTCGCGATTTCTCTCAACATGGCAACACGAGAGCTGTCAGTCAAGACATGGGAAACAAAGTAACTAGCGTTACTTATTTGAAAAAGTAACTCAGATATTTCCTTCTAAATTAAAAAGTAATGCGTTACTTTACTAGTTACTTGGAAAAAAGTAATCTGATTATGTAACTTGCGTTACTTGTAATGCGTTACCCCCAACACTGGTTATCACAGATCTATTCACTGAAAACAGGTACACTAACCTCATAGGTGGTGAGAAGAACATGGAAGCATTGGTCATTCCTGAGCTCTTTCTGGAGCTCTGCCCTTTTTTCTTTATCCCCAGTGTAACAGATCACAGACAGAATGGGACAGAAGCTGAATAAAAAAATAAAAAATAAGAGAACCTTAACTAATCTTTCATGTTAATTTGGATTCAAGGTAGATACTAATCCAGCGTTTATATGCTACTGTCTCCACCTAGTGACAGAGACAACACGTTGTCTTTATTTAAAATCAGTTCATGCTGGAATATTCATACATTCATAAAGTGACAAACAGTTTCACAGTCCTGTATCAGTAATAAATCAACATATCTTTAATATGTATTCTAAACTGACCACACAAGTCTAATCGTATACCAGCATTACTCTTACCGCTCTAACTCCTGTCTCCAGTTCTCCAAAACAGATAAGGGACAAAGCACAAGGAACGGTCCGTTCATCTTAAGGCATCCCCGAGCATATGCCAGCAAAGAAATGGTCTACAGCAGAGGATGACATCTCACTTATCTGATATCTGACATCTTGGAATAAATCTCTGACTTAAAAGCAAGCATTATAAGCAAGATAAACCCATCCCATTACTAACCTGGCAGGTCTTGCCCAGACCCATCTCATCACCAAGGATGCAGCCCTGCTGGTTCTTCATACACTGTGACAGCCACCCCACTCCATCCACCTGATAAGACCTCAGATGAATTGCTGTAAGGAAGGAGATAAAGGATTGCAGTGTTGTTCCTAAGAAAACTTTTAGAGTATTTCAATCCATAAAGTGGGCTTTAAAAACATTTTTTTCACTGGTTTCACAAATGAATGTTCCACATGAAAAGCCAAGCTTGTCCAAAAATGTTGTACCATGAAATAGATGCCATTTCGCTCTAAAAGTTAACTTAAAAGACTAATCTCTAAACTTACGTAATGAAAAGCTTCATTTCAGATATACAAGTATTCAGTTTTAATAGTGCTCATTAGGTTGCGACAAAGCCACTTTATTTAATCTATGAACGCAGTCCATTAAAATAATAATAATTTAATTATATTACACATCATTTGTGAAACATTTTCATGCTAAAAAAATCTTAAATGACATACAAATACTTTGCTGTATTTGCTTTAAACATGTCACAAGAAGCTCTCAATTCACACACCTTCTAATCCCCATTTTTTCAGGTCGCTCTCCGTTAATTCCGATTTGTCCTTTTCTGGTATGTTGCTTTTGATTGCTCGAAGAAATTTTGACATTTTTGTGGTTTAATTATGTTTACCTCTACCTTTAGACACTTTATTCAGTCGAGTATTTAAGTTAATAGCTTGCCCGCGCCAGAGTTTGACGTGAACTTCGGCATGACTACTTCCTGCAAGTGAGTGGGCGGGTCCCAGGACAGAGGTCGTCCAATGACTAGTCGGCGATGCAGACACGTACTTTAAAGGCGCCATTAATGCATTTCACACACACACACACAGTGTCAATTACAAAACAATTTTTAGATATTTACACAAAAGAGTGAGCTGATAAAACTAGTCTTTATTTACAGGGTTTTTATCATACAATATTGAGACAAAGGTAGGAAAAATGTTAAAATTTGATTTTATAAATATCAATTTTAAAGTAGGTCTGTTTAATATCCTTTTCTGTTTTACAACATGTTTTTAAAAAAAAACACATTCAGTAGAAGGCAGCCTTATTCTTTATGTTCAGATTTAACAAAATGTTCAACTAGCCATTACAGCAATGTCCCATTGTGCCATTCTGTCAATGATCATTTGTGGATCCTGAAATCACCAAATACTTGAGCAGAAAGTTCCTGGGGCGATGAAAGGCAAAACCTCAGCTCTTCATTTCACACACATGGTAAACAGCATGGAGAAAAACTTGAGGATGGCATCTCTGGTTAAGGCAAAGAAGAGAGTATAAAGGCCTTATAAAATAATCTACATTTTAAAGCAGACAGGTCCGAACAAGCCTGTTCTTGATTACTGCTGTCATTTACCAGAATAAACTATTGCAAAATGTTTCATTTATAATTGAATACAACAAAAACCAAACATTCATCAATATGTTAATATCTAATGCTGAGCAATTCAATATTTTGAAATCACAAAATATAACTAACCTTGCAAAAGGAATGTATGACAAGCTATACCTACAGAGAAGAAAAAAATCAATTGATAAAATGTGTTTCAGTACAATATTAAACTGGGTGCTGAGATACTCATTTAAATAATATGCTTAAAATATATTTACTACACAGCATCCATGGAAACTTACCACGCAAATGCAAGGACTTGCAGAATGACAAACAGCAAAGTGAGTGCAAAAATCTTCCACTGTGGTACAGAGATCGGTGTTAAAAAAGCATCCAATGATATTGTACCATCTGATTCAGACTTAGTTTGAAATACACATTAAGGATTGACTAGAACTCACCCAAAATGCTGCACAGAGTGTGAGAACCAGACATGTCTGTAGATCACAAAATAAAATGTCAAACTCTGTATCCATTGCAAAGTTGGTCCAAATACTGTATCTATAATCAGAATCTGTATTCGCTGTAACTGGCAGATTGTCAAAGGATGCACATGAACTAAAATAATTTTCCCACTGGCTGTTGCATCCAATGCATTTTTGGAATGACACTAATTCTAGGAAAAATGTAAAAGTTATTTATTTAAATACAACATGAATTTTACTTCCAAAATGAGTATATCCAAATGAAACATTTAATGAAGATACAGAATGCATGGTGGTACTTCCTTTTAATAATAAGAAATTGATTGGGTTATGAACATTATTAACATTATAGGTGTCATTATTATGAACTATTTCAGGCAGATCCTCATTGTTGGTTTTATGAGAAAATTAGTGTGGGGCGTGGAAAGGAATAACTTACTAGCATAACAACCGTAGCAAAGGCTCTGGTCTTGTCACACATCCGTTTCAGCTGTTTCAATGGCCCCATCAGAAACATGGTGCTAGGGGTAGTTTCAAATTAAACAGTGTAGTCATCAAAAGGAATAATAAATAGTAAGAGCATTTTCGTTGCAAGCTTTATGACTTACCTTACTAATGAGCATATGTTGCCAAATGTGTAAAACACAATGAAGATAATCACCCCTATTTTAGGAATAAACAGGCAACATACTCCCTGAGAAAAAAAGGATGGCTTTTAATATAATAGAACGTGGTTAACAGTAACAAAGAATAATACACTTCTCAATCAAGATACTTGAAATGCCTTTTGCAGTGTGCATCAATCTCATTCCTGAGAGCAGGTCAAACCGGTGACACAGCTCTGCTTCTATTCCTCCAACTCATCGCCTATCCCTTCACAACAGTCAGGAAGTTACCTGTGTGTAAAAGTCCACTGATAACTAAAATAAAATTATTTCAAGTCACTGACCAGGATAGTGCACACTACTCCGATGACCATACAGATGAGGAAACCTTTCACACGCGTTCCCCATCCCAGCGTGGACGCCTCATTCGCCGCCTAAATACAGTGAATAGACGACTGTGATTTACATGCGCCTTTTTCCTCCCAAAATAAAGTCGTTATGCCAATACGTGCAAAATCAGCGACATATTGTTGTTTAAATTTGTGTTTAAACGTTCTTAATTAGGAGTACAAAAGACAGTAATTTACCTGTAGTACATTTCTGTTGTCATTGTTTCCATCACGACCACTCAGAACCGCTCTGAGTTTGTCCATTGCTGCACATCCAGTTCTCTGTATTAATTGAATCGGTTCACTCTAAATCCCTGAGAATGTGTTGTTTCATCGTCCAGCTGGCACTCGCTTGTCATCACTCGTGTTACCTTTACTTTTTGGCTCCCTTCATTGAACATGATTATCACCTGGTGCTTACGCACGCCACCTACTGGTACTTGTGAGGTGCACTTAAAAGTAGCTTGGTACAGGGAATGAATCATGTTGTTTTTAAGATACCTTATTTCTTTTCTTTTCTCTTTTAGTTGGGTCATATGTTTATATTTATATATAATAAAGCATTATTTTCAACAAAACAAAACACAACATTTTTAATGTTTTTATTTATTATTGTTCATTGAGAGAAATATGTGTGACCACAAAACCAGTCATAAGGGTCAATTTTTTTAAATTGACATGACTGAAAGTTGAATGAATAAGCTTTCCATTGATGTATGGTGTGTTAGGATAGGACAATATTTGGCTGAGATACAACTATTTGCATATCTGGAATCGGAGGGTGCAAAAGATCTAAATATTGAGAAAATCGCCTTTAAAGTTGACCAAATGAAGTTCTTAGCAATGCATATTACTAATCAAAAATGAAGTTTTGATATATTTATGTTAGGAAATTTACAAAATATCTTCATGGAACATGATCTTTACTTAATATCCTAATGATTTTTGGCATAAAAGAAAGATCGATAATTTTGACCCATACAATGTATTGTTGGCTATTGCTACAAATATCCCCATGCAACTTATGACTGGTTTTGTGGTCCAGGGTCACATATGCGAAAAAATACCAACACATGGCAAATAAAAATAATTTAATATTAATACACAGTTATTGCACACTGTTATGCAGTAATAAAATATTTTATTGGGAAAAAGTTTTTAGAAGTTCTTTAAAAAATGTACTCATTATCAAGTCAAATTAAATTAAATCTATCAATAAATGCATGGAATAAGACATTACAATTTCAAGATTCCACATACAATGGCCTTTTTTTCAGTCAAGGGCCAAGGCAAAGAATACTATGGCACAAACGAACACAGCAGACTAGCTGAGGAATTATGGCTGTCAAGAAAATACAAAAGCATAATTCATTTGATGACTAAAAAGTGTCCTACAAACCTGCAAATCTCAAAGGCATTCAAATAGAACAATTTTCGCACGTAGATCATATAGTACCACTAAAAGCATGATAAAAATATTATATTCTCTGTCCTTAGTTGACAACATATAAAATACTGACAAGGCACACAAATAAAATCTCAAATTTACACAGTATTGCTTCAAAGCCAAACAATGAAATTACAACAAAAAGTGTACATAAAGACTCAAAAATAATCAGTACATCATAATTGATTGACTTGATGCAAACTTGTAAAGAAAATAATCGTTTTAATTAATTTATTAGAGTAGGTTGGTCCTGAGGTGCATCAGAGAAATAGGGATTAGTGAAATAAAAAAGGAATGACCACACAAGATAGCAGACCGCATGGACAGAGAGTTGTAACTATCATACTGGGAAAATGAGTGAGAGATATAACACTATGGCTATTTTGATTTACTTACAATCCCTTGTTATAGTATGATGAAACAGATCTTGGGAAGCAAGACTGTCACTGTTTGTCATCTCCCATCTGCTCTTCAGGAAATTAAGACAGAGCTAATATTTAGTGACAATGCCTCTCTGTTCATATCTATCTCTCGCTCTCTGTCTCTATACTTTTCTTTGGAATCAGGTCCAAGTGTATTTGGATGCTGGCATGAACGTGTAAGGATGATAAATACTCATAAAATCTCATCTTCAGACTCTACTTCTTTCTCCCTTGGTTTCAAAAGCCCCATTTCTATGGGTGGCATCCTCCTTAGTCTGGAACGCACAGCACTGGAGGGAGAACAATGAAGGAAAATAAGAAGGAACTCAATGAATCAGAAAGGAAACTTCAGTAAAAGTATTATTTCATATGATATGTACACTATTGTTCAAATATTTGGGTCAGTAAGATTTTTAAACATTTAAACCTCTTATGCTCACCAAGGCTGCATTTATTTAAGCACAATAACACAATAAAAGCAGTAATATTGTGAAATATTATTACAATTTAAAATAACTGTTTTTTATTTAAATATATTTAAAAATTGAATTTCTCCTTTTGATTACAAAGTTGAATTTTCAACAGCTATTCCTCCAGTCTCCAGGGTCACATGGTTCATTCTAACAGGCTGATTTGGTTCTCAAGAAAGATTTCTTATTATTATCAATTATTTAAATATTCCATTTTTTATCAATTGAAAACAGTTGTGCTCCTTAATATTTTGAGGATACACATGATAATTTTTCCTAGTTTCTTTCATGAAGAGAAGGCCAAAAGAACAGCATTCATTTGAAATGGAAATCTTTTGTGACATTATAAATGTTTTTTTTTCTGCTACATTTAATTTTATGTGTCCTTACTGAATTTCTCAAACATTTGAATGGTAATGTAGTTTATGCTCCTTTATGCCTGAACTGTAATTTTTGTATTTCATGTTAGAATGAATAGATTATGTCATGCTCACCAGAGAACAGACCAGTAAACTACAGCTACAGTGAGCAATGCAAACGCTAGATGCCAGCAGTAGCATAATGTGACAAAGACCAAGTTGTCATGGTCTGTCTGATCCCATTTCACTTGACTGGGTGGGTACAGCACAAAGCCAATCTAGAAAAATACAAGAATGAGAGTTAAACAGTCTTGGGTCTAAATGACTTGCACATTTATGTATGCACTTGTGACACACACAGACACACACACACACACACACACACACACACACACTTGTTAGTAGATTCCCTCTGTGGAAAACCTCCAGAAGGCAGATGAAAGCTTGTCCAAAGATGGCATAGAGGAGAAGGGTGTGCACATGGACATCAAGCATATCTCTACCATGGAGATGGTAAAGAAACAGAAATCCTGCAGGAGGCAGACATGTGCTGAATTTTATTTTTTGTTGAATTATCACAAAATAGAAAAACGTAATTTCAAGAGTAACAAAGAGTGGTTTGGGTAACAGTTCACACATTCTCCAACATCAAAAAACACATTTATAAAATACTCGTTCACATAGTATTTTTGGTCAACAATCACCCTTGCACACATGTAAGTATTTAATAGGTGTGTGGGAAAAACGACCAAAAAAGGTCCAACTTCAAAACAAAACAAAAAAATTTCGCACACTATCCACACTTGCAAATGAATCAAAATATGTATTAACTAACAACATTTCGGTCCATCACCTTCATCAGGCATGTACAGTACATACATAGTACACATACATAGCATTTTTGGACCATTTTAGAAACAGTCTGGGGGAAAAACAAGATCCTACCCTCATTAAAGAAAGCAAGACCCAGCAGCATCCGATCTAAGGCCAGCGGGGCAATGTCTGTGCTGTGGACAGTGAGAGATATGGCCCCTGCGATGGCAAAGAACAGGTACATGGTGGTGTGCTGCCAGTTCATCAGCTGCTCCCAGTTTTGAGTGGAAGAATCATACAGCTGAAACTTGGGCCCACCTGCTAAAAGCTGCTCTGCTAACATACCTGTATGAAGGGCAGAAGAAAACTAGTTGAATTAAAAATATAATAAATAAACTTCCTTTCATTACTCTAATAAATGGCTCATTATAGGAGGCCTAAAAACTCAACTTAAAATGATTTAAAATAAGCATCAAAATATTAAAGCAGTAAAAACAAAACAAGCTTTAAGAATAAGCTAAAAATCAAGACATTTCTGTTTTAATTCATCCGCTCAACAAATTTATTTTTTCTTTGAATAACCAGGGTTCCCACTGCTTGAAAAACCTAGATATGCGAAGAAGCTCAATTCCAAACGTGTGATATCTAAACCTGGAAAAGTTTATTAATGTATAATGTATAACTCCATGGGCAGATTTATACTTTTTATGAATATACATTTTCTGGGTATGCCAAGCTCTAAAATATTTTACTGGGTAGAAATTGTGAATAAAGTATTTTAAAAAAAAGTCTTAATCCCTTTCTAGTAAACTGCAAACAACTGAAAAAGTCATGGAGCCATATTGTTACGGACAATGTTGGACCTTCTCAAAGTTGAGAACCACTCATCTAGACCACTATTACCAAAGGACAAACAACACACAGAAAATTACACAACCTATAATTTAATACCATTTTTTTAACCATACAATCAACTTAATAAATCTATACAGCAAAAATGGCTCTCAAAATCATAGTTGTTTCTTTGCTGAACCTTGGGTGTTTCAAAGACACATCAGAAAGCTTTATTTGTCCATATGTATGATGATGCTTCTTATTCTATTAATAAAGGCATAGCGGCAACTCACCAATAATAGAAAATGATAAAATGACAGCTCCTTCTATGATTTCTATGTGCCGTTGTGTAGCTCGAGATGCAAGTCTGCCCGCACCAGCACTTTTATTCCTGCGGGTGGCATACAAAAATGTCTGCTTTGCGGCCCACCACAGGCCGGTGATCAGGAAGAAACTTCCAGGCAATGCATGGCCTTTAAAACTTCCCATGTTTCCCTAAATGTCCTGGAAATCAGAATAACAATTGTATTTAATAATAATATAATAAACTGCAAAACAAAAATATCTCATTATATCATGCTTCATTATATCTCAAAATGTGGCAAAGCAAAAGACAGTGTTTACTGGACACACTTAAAGACGATATTGGAGACTCTGTATTTATAAGCAACACTTTTCCCCTTAGGAGTGGCATATCAATACAAGATTCCCATTTTTACATTTTCTGGCACTGGATTGTTACTCCAGTGTGGAGACTAACAGTGCTAGACAATCAAATCCAGCATATTTATTGCCATCCTGAACAAATAATGCCACACACTATAGACAGCAGGGGTTAAGGAAATGTCAGAGATACAAATCAAAATGCAGAGGAAGGTGCTGCAACCTAGTCCATGCGGCCTAATGAGGGGTCCAGGCGTGCACCTCTCAGTTCTATTTTTAAACAGCAAGGTGAGGATAGCTGGAAAAAAATCCCCAAACCATGTTAAATCAGAAAGTCTACTCTATTAATCTTGGAAATATAAACCTACATACTGAAAGCAGTCTCCTGTCTTAAACATTCACCAGACACAGGAAGAGTAAAGTTGTTTGCTCTTGACAGATGTTTGAAAATGAGTTTAACATTTAACTTTAATATATGTTTTTTGCTTTTAATCAGTGAAATATAAAGTAACCCAAACAATACAAGGGAAATTATAAGAATGGCGTCTTCTGTTCCTCCTTTCCTCTTATAGAGGATGATTTCTGTAATATTTAATCGACGAACTGATCAGTTCTTGGCCCTGAAGTCATCCAGGTCCCATGGCATTCCAAAGGAAGGTGGTCATTACTGCCATAATCAGTGTGCAATCAGAGTGTGTCCTTGAGACCATGACCGCTTATCACATAAACATCTCCTTCTGTTTACAACCGCTTTTAGAAAGTAAGCTAAATTCAAACATGTGGAAAAGACACTATTGAAGGGCTGCGATAAAGTAGAGACAGCAACCACATAGGCCTAATGATCAATTGGAGAAAAAAAATCTAAGTGATGGTAATGAGAGTTTGAGACAAAACTGAGAATCTTATTGCATAGACATTTTTGCATATGCTGTTTTGTTTTGTAATAGCTTATTTCAATAGAGGGTTGCATAAATGTTAAAATTAAAAATGTATGTCATTATTTACCCTCGCGTCGTTCCAAAGCAATTCCCCCTGTTTGAAAGTGAAGAAAGAAAGTTATAGACACGAGGGTGAGCAAATGTTGACACAATGTTCATTACTGTGTCACTATTTCTGTATTGTATTATTCACTATATGACTTTGAATATCATGGCAATGAGTAGCATCTCTGCAGCCTTGATCAAACCAGTCTTTCAGTGGTCTAAACACTGTTCTTCAGGATGCTCTGCTGTTACCATAGAGACACACTAAGCTTTGAGAGTCTCTCCAGTGAAGAGGCCCGATCCAATCCTTTCATGTATTTATGACAACATAAGAACGACATTATTTGGAATTGTACATACATACAAACAATCAGTCATTTTGTAATACTAAACCAAATAAGAGGCACCATAGTGCAGTTTTACAAAGAATAAAACATGAAAAACGATGTAAAAAAATATGCTATAACAACAATCCTGCATGTTTCATGATAAAATGACTTAAGTATCCTACAATTTTTAAAATCATTTAAAAACCTTACCTGAAAAACGATACACGCACCGTTGTCTGCGGAAGACTATATAAACGTCTCGATTTTATAATTATACTTCACATATAATGTTTATTGGGGATAGGTCTGCTGTGTTCACGTTTTATTGGGCTTTCTCAAGACTTTCTGAAGTCTACAGACTAAAACACCCATCTTAGATACTATGATATAATTATGTTTTCTTTTTAAATCACAGTCTTCTAGGGAATACATAAAAATTATATTCTAGCTAATTACACGTAAGTAATTGCATTAGCTCGCCACCTAGGTCCGTTGTTGGTAACGTTAACACTATTAAGAAATAAAAGTGGAAAAATAATAACTTAATTCGGGCACAGTAAGTGGTCTGTATTATGAGTTAAGAATACATAGTTGATATCTTACCTTATAGATTTACCAAATATTGGGTATATTCTTGAAAATTTTGAGACGAAATCTCAGTGTCGATGTTTTTTTCTCGAGAGACTGTCATCTGATGCTGTAAGTAGCAATATACTCAATTCGTTCAAACATTCTCACACGACTCTTATTCGTCCCTTTTCAGCATCATGACTTTTTATTCCATCAGGAGCTTGCAAATTAGCAACTTCTTCCACTTTTCCAGCTGTTTCGAAACCAGATTTGGGGTTTTATCTTTTTCAGTGCGTCTTCTCACTGGAACCTCCCATTTCATGAAACGATTGGTTCATGATGGAACCAGACGTCATTTTTTTCGAATTTGATTGGTTAGCTTACCTGTCAATCAACAGTTGGTCTCTTTTCCACGTGTGCCGTTTTCTCCAAAAGAAGCAGTAGAAGGTCGTCCGCTATTTTAACAGTCAACAGTAATTTCAGTCCAGTGGAATAAACTTATAAAATATATTTTGAAAATGTTTTTGTATATAGTGTGTTTTCTTTTTATGTATTTTAAAACCTCGTTAAATCAATTATAGATAGATAGACAGATCACAATTCATTTCCATGTTCTCTTTAAAGTTTTAGGTAACGTTACTTTGCAAGAGAAGATAGGCTACGCTCGCCAAAGGCTAAAGTTTTCATAATGCTTTGGTCCAGTTGTTGTATAATATTTTGATGGCATACTGTTTTATTATAACAGCTTTTACAGAGTTGTATGTTTTATAAATGTAGGGCGGGACATGAGGGCAGGGTTTTTGTACGTGCACAAAGGCATGGTCACGAGAGGGCCTGACAACGAAGAGAAGAACATCATCTCACTGTATTATTTATTTTACACTTTATAACGTGGCACTCATATTATGTAGTAGCTACACAGAAACTGAATGCATTGAACTAAACAACATCCTGGTACCAAACCTATGAATTCAATGAATTTTGTAAAAGCAAAGTTGGGTAAATAAAACAACAGCCTACTTTCAAAATAACAGTACTATATAAAACATCTGCACATGCTAAACAGATTGCAACATTATTTTGCTTTTAAAGAACTGCAGGCTTAGCAAAACACACTATCAGTTTGAATTTAAGTTTATATGATGTTAAAAAACTTTTGATTTGCATATTTATGCTTAAATTCTTGGAAAAATGTAATTTGTCAACATATTTATGAATATATTTACAAATAAATGGCTGGTAGTGTACGTGACATAAATGCTAAAGGAAGTAATGTTCAACTAAACCAAATGTATATATCACTAAGATCTATAGCAGAGGCATGATGGCAATTGCATGACAACTGCATGCATGAAAAACAGATCTGTTGACCTTTGAGGGGCAGAACTGTGACCCACCATTGATTTCCAATACAGTGGTGTGATTAGCCACCAGCTAATTTCCAGCATGTGCATTTAACAACTGTAGCTTCATAACTGCAACTCATGACATGACCTGCAAATTCAGGATTTTACCATATTTACAGTTTCAGCATACATAATTCTAAATCCAAAATAAACCAAAACATATATTCACAGTTTGGTTTTCTAATCCAAAATAGCTGTATAAAATGAACAACAGGAACATGAATAATAACAACAGTTTATCAGATCCACGCACATTAACTCTAAAAAACAAAATTTGATTGACAGTTTACTAATACACAGACTACAATAACCATATTATGGTTCCTATAATTCTTACTATAGGAAAAGCACAAAAAGTACTAAAACATGACATTTGAAACAGCAATATTTATAAAATGTAAATGACTTGGAATGGGGAAACAAATAAAAACGCTGGTATTTACTGTTGTTCTTTGCTTTTCTGATTTCAAAAGGGGGAAAAAGACAAAACTTTCCTGCAAAAAAGAGATCAGCAGGTTAATTTTGTGTGTGGAGCTAAACACAAAGTAAAACTGACAATTAACAAGTATTTTGATAATATACTGAGTGATTACTGTTTAGTTTAACTACTATTCATACATACAGTACACTTAAAAAATGATTACTTTTAAAAAATAATAATATTATAATAATCAAAAGAACCTTTTTCACTATAAATAACCTTTTGTGCAATGGAAAGGTTCCACAGATGGTACAAGTTCTGCATGGAACCATTGATGCCAATAAAGAACCTTTATTTTTTAGAGTGTATGTTAAACTGAAAACAATCAACGTTGTCTACGTAAAGAGAGAAAAAAATAATAATATTATAATAATCAAAAGAACCTTTTTCCACTATAAATAACCTTTTGTGCAATGGAAAGGTTCCACAGATGGTACAAGTTCTGCATGGAACCATTGATGCCAATAAAGAACCTTTATTTTTTAGAGTGTATGTTAAACTGAAAACAATCAACGTTGTCTACGTAAAGAGAGTTGGCGACGGGGTAAGCGATATTCCTCCTGTCCAGGGCAGAACGGTATCTCTTTTCCTCTCTCACAAGCAGGTGCAGAACTCCCACTACGTGGACGTGCGCCATGCTCTGGCCATTTTGCCTTCCCAATCCATAATCAGAGACGACAGCAGATTCAGTGTCATAGTTGGCACAAAAGCAGCAAGTAACCAGATAAACGTCATGCATGCCAGGCGGGGAAAAGCACCGATTTTGAAAGCGTTGTTCACTTGGTGTCATGCGTAAACTGCTATATCCATTAAGCCACTGCTTCAATTAACAATTTGATACTGTTAGAAGGCAACAGAGGAGAGAAATGATGCAGGAAGTGTTTACCTCTTTATGAAAATGATGGCCACAGCGAAGTTCTTGGATGCTACCCCTTCCATTCCGTAGTTCTTCATGGCAAATAAGACATATGCTATCTGCATCACCCTACAAATAAACCAGAAAAAAAATAATCCAAAAGTGTTAATATTATGGCATTCATGTCTAATACAGTATATTAAAGTATACAGTATACAAGTTTTTATTTTTCATGTTTTTAAAAGAAGTTTCTTTTGCTCACCAAGGCTGCAAAAACTCAAAAAAGTAATATTGTGAAATATTATTACAATTTTAAAACTGTTTTCTATTTTAATATATTTTAAAATTTAATTAATTCCTGTGATGGCAAAGGTTAATTGTAAGCAGCCATACTCCAGTCTTCAGTGTCACATGATGCTTCAGAATTCATTCATTTCTGGGTGTTATATAACATTCTTCACTATGGAACTTTGGCCTCTATATCGCCACCTGTAGTTAAAACATACAATTGCATGTCACTTGCGAAAGAGATATTAAACGTAAATTGTGTTTCACGGTTTGAGGAATTCCATTGGATACCAACGATCATCTTTAGAGGATTTCTCATGCTGCACGAAGACCCACTGACGGTAGCCTACAGCCTATCAGAAAAATTAATTTAAGTGTGTTATTTGCTGTTGTGGTGTAGCCTAGATCTTTTGACGCATGCTCTGTCACCTTCCCTTTTTGATTGTAGACTCTCAGTTCCAGATTTAGCCTATTTGTTTTTTGAAAAGCTGATTTCTTAAGAGGTCTCACGAGGCGCCGTTTAGATCTGTTCATGTTAAATATCTTTTCTGTTCATGGACATGAAGTAAACACTAAAGTAATTGATGCAGGCACGCGAAATCCGACCCGACAGCTCATAATTATTGAAATTAAAAATGTTGTAGGCATAAAGTAGTGTATTGAGTATTTTATTTAATAAATCAATTCCATTTAAAGGTGACATATCATGAAAATCTGACTTTTGAAAATCTGAAAAATATTAACCCAGTAACTTTGTTTTGGTAAGCCTTTTTCTGCAAGCGTCTGATTTCGCTCCCCTAGTGACGTTGAAAAGGGATCTCATTATAATATTACCGCCCCTTAATCTGTATGTTTCCACCCACACCG